GTGCTTGCTTTCTGCTGCGTTGGTGGCTCCGTTCCCTCCGGCTAGTCACCATGGTTTTCCTCGTTTCCAAAACTCGAGGCTGCTGGTCCCGCGGATGTGCTGAGTGGTTGTGTTTTTAACACACTGTGTTGTATCAAAACTCCTAACCACCTCCTCCCGGGCGCCCACGTGTGGGAGCAGGCCGGCCTGCCACCCTGCTCTCTTGCCTTGCTCCTCGGGAGGAGAAGCCCTTGTGTGTGGAGCTCACCTGCCCCCTGCTATTCTTTTGACTTTTTTGTTCCCTCCCTTCATGCCTACCACAGGCTTGAGCAGACTCCTCCGTGCTGCTGGGCCAGGGGTCCTGCATCCCTTCACCTGCTACACAAGTGGGGAGGGGTGACCCGAAGCCACAACGTCGAAGGTCTTGCCCAAGTCCTACTCAGTTCAGGGGGCCGTGCGCCTCCTGGCCCAGGCGTCTGTTGTTGTTTTAAAATATATCTTTATTGATTTCAGAGAGGGAGAGAGAGGAAAAAAAAAAATAGAAACATCAATGATGAGAGAGAATCATCGATCAGCTGCCTCCTGCACATCCCCCACTGGGGATAAAGCCTGCAACCTGGGCATGTGCTCTTGGTGGAATCGAACCTGGGACCCTTCAGTCCACAGGCTGACGCTCTATCCACTGAGCCAAACTGGCTAGGGCGGTTTGTTTTGTTTTGAACCTGCCTTTGATACTGTCCCAGGATGCAGATAGCTACCGTGTCCACTCCAGGGTTGGGGTCAGGGGGTGAGCAGGGGAAGGTCCCTCAGAAGCTGAGGGTCTGTCTGTGTGATTTGGGTGAGCCACGTAACGGTGCTGGCCTCCATTTCTTCCCCTGCAAAACGGAGACACTTGCTGCTGTAGCCGTCCCCTCCCCCTTCCTGAGGGGCAGGCTGGCATTGGGCTGGAATGACCGCATACGTTGGCAAGCACTTTGAAGAATGCTGTTGTGTAATATTAAAAACACACGGACCCAAGATCTTAGGATGCAAGGCCATGGGGCAGACGGTGTTGGCCGCTGTCCATGGCACCTCCGCCCATTTCCTGGGGCTGAGCTGAGGGCAGGAAATGCCGCCGGGCGCTGGGACCTCTGGGGAGGCCTTCTGGAGGGCCTGTTTCTTCCCTGAGTGGACATGGAAGGTTGGCGTCGTTGCTGGAGAAGCTTGGGTTAGGAGTGGTGGGGAGAGGAGAAAGACCTGGGATGGGATGCTAGAAAGACAGTCTGTGATATGTAACGGGACCATTTGGCAGAAGCAGCTGGACCGATGCCAGAGCCAGCTGGCCCATCCTCGGCACTGGAGGGAGGGCTGGTATCAGCTTGAGCATAAGGAGGGGGGAGGTGTCTTGGCTCACGCCAGGTCTGGAGACGGAGAATCTGGCCCTTTCCAGCCCATAGCCGCCTGGGCTCCCCGGTCCAGGCTGCCTTAGACTCATTGGTTCTACCCAGAGTGGATTCAAGGGGTCCTGCCTTGCCGGGCCCCGAGGGATGGTGACTCCCACTGGAAAGCTGGCATTATGTGCCTGAACTCGGGGCAGTCCCAGCGTTAAACTCCTGAGATGGAATGGTGGTACCCTGTTTCCCCGAAAATAAGACAGTGTCTTATATTAATTTTTTCCCCCAAAGTTGCGCTAGGTCTTATTTTCAGGGGATGTCTTATCTTTCCATGCGCTAGGTCTTATGCTCGGAGGATGTCTTATTTTCGGAGGATGTCTTATTTTCGGGGAAACATGGTAGCTTTAATTTTCTCGCCTGACAAGGGAAATGTCTCTGCTGTCACTGTTGTTAGATTCTGGGGAAATCGGGTGAGGTAATGCGGGAGAAAAAGCACACGGAGGCTGTGAAAGGTCAGTTTACAGTGAGCGCTGATGAGGTAACGTATCTGGTCAGTAGGATGGGTGAGGCCAGGGCCCCGCCCACCTGGAGGACTGCAGGGAGACTCAGGAGGTGGAAATGAAGATGCTGACCAGCCCCGTGGTGGTGTGGCCGCGGACACGCGGGTGCAGCGGTCTGCACAGACCACGCGGGGGACAGAGGAGCAGTGAGCGTGGGGCAGCTAACTCAGGTCTACAGGCAGCGAGCGTCCTCTGGTTCTACATGGTCTCAGTTTTCTGCTCTGGAAGTTTTGTGTCCAGAAAAAAAGAAAATCCAGGAAGTATAACTCTCTGCAATGTTTTTGTTGTTTTTTTTTTTTTTAAATACATTTTATTGACTTTACACAGAGAGGAATTGAGAGGGACAGAGAGTTAGAAATGTCGGTGAGAGAGAAACATCGACCAGCTGCCTCTTGCACACCCCCTACCGGAGATGTGCCCGCAACCAAGGTACATGCCCTTGACCGGAATCGAACCCGGGACCTTTCAGTCCGCAGGCCGACGCTCTATCCACTGAGCCAAACTGGTTCCGGCTCTGCAATGTTTTTAAAATGACGGAGGCTGCCTCATGCGATTAAGGGCTGTTCCTCCAGATGTGGCTTCTGGGGCCCCACATGGCTGGGTTCAGAGTTCCCGCGCAGGAGGTACAGACTGTGGGATCTCACCTGGTCCTCCCGGTCCCGGCCCTCCTCCCCTGGGCTCTGAGGGCTCAGCCTGGACACAGGACCCAGCCTCGACAGAAGCAGCTGCGATTACGGCACACGTTGCCGGTGGTCCGGCTGCCTGCCTCTCTGAGCAGCCTGCCTGGGAGCAGGTGGGGGATCTCAGCAGCAGAGCTGCAAGGGGCGGCTGAGGCCAGGGCCTCTTGGGTTATCTCCAGTCTGAGGATAAAGGCACTCATTTGGACAGCAGGTTTTTTTGTTTGTTTGTTTTTTAAATATATTTTTATTGAGTTTTTACAGAGAGGAAGGGACAGGGATAGAGAGTTAGAAACATCAATCAGCTGCCTCCTGCACATCCCCGACTGGGGATGTGCCTGCAACCAATGTACGTGCCCTTGACCGGAATCGAACCTGGGACCTTTCAGTCTGCAGACCGACCCTCTATCCACTGAGCCAAACCGGTTTCGGCTGGACAGCAGGTTTTTATATGTGTGCTAAAGACGTGGTCACATTACTGACACGAAAGGTTTGTCCATAGGTGTTTATTTATTAAAAATATTTTTTTTATTGATTTTAGAGAAAAAGGGAGAGGGACAGAGAGAAACATCAGTGATGAGAGAGAATCGCAGATCAGCTGCCTCCCGAATTGCACCCCCTCCCCCCGAATTGAACCTGCAATCCGGGCATATGCCCTGACCAGGCATTGATCTGTGATCTCCTGGTTCACAAGTCAATGCTCAACCACTGAGCCACACCGCTGGATATATATATATATATATATATATATATATATACTATATATATATGTATGTATATATATAAAAACTACATATAAACTATATATATATAAACCATATATAAACTATATATATATAGTTTTTTTTTGTTGTTTTTTTTTATGGTTACCAGTTTGTTATAAGGGACACGGAGGAATAGCCAGAGGAAGAGGTATAATGAGTGAGGTCTGGAGGGGTTCCAAGTGCAGGAGTTTCTGCCCTGAAGGAATTGGGGGTGTCCCACCCTCCTGGCGCGTGGATGTACTCACTGCCCTGGAATCTCCAGTGAAGTTTATTTTATTGTCAACAATACCAGGAACGAGATTGGCTCCAGATAACAGAACATCATACTCGTGTTGTATAGACAAAGCTAGGTTTATTTATCTCGTGCAGCAAGAATCCCAGGACAGGCACTCAGAGCTGGTTTGGGCGTTCTGTAGGGCCCTCGAGTTCTCAGGCTCCACTGTGTGCAAATGGACCTTCATATCGTGCCAGTCACCTGGTCACTGTGTGCAAATGGACCTTCATATCGTGCCAGTCACCTGGTGGCAAGATGGCTGCTGCGTCTCCAGGCATTGCCTCCACATTCCAGTCAGGAAGCAGTATGAAGGCCAGGACCTTTATTAGGGAAGCAAGTCTTTCTAGACCACTGGTCCTCAACCTTTCTAATGCCGCGGCCCTTTAATACAGTTCCTCATATTGTGGTGACCCCCAACCTTAAAATTATTTCTCTTGCTACTTCATAACTGTCATTTTGCTACTATTAATGAATCGTAATGTAAGCATCTGTGTTTTCCGATGGTCTTAGGCTCTACAGCAGTGGTTCTCAACCTGTGGGTCCCGACCATCGGAAAACACAGATGTTTACATTACGATTCATTAGCAGTAGCAAAATGACAGTTATGAAGTAGCAACGAAAATAATTTTAAGGTTGGGGGTCACCACAACATGAGGAACTGTATTAAAGGGCCGAGGCATTAGAAAGGTTGGGAACCACTGTTCGAGAGCATCTCATCTTGTTATTTTTGTTTGTTTGTTTTGTTTCATTTTGGCTAAAACTGTATCATGTGGCTACTCTTAGCTGCAAGGGAGTCTGGAGAAGCAAGAATTTTTAGCAGGCTGCATGAAGGCTATGCAGATTGGTTGTTAAGGAAGAAAGGGGGAAAGATAAGGAGTGTACAGTTAGCAGTGTCTGCTACAACAGCATAGCCTGATTGTGTGGCTCTGATTTTCCCAGAGTGCCACCATGGGGCCTCTTGGGAAATGGATGCCTGCTGGTCTAGGGGAGCCTGTGCAGCTTGAAGGAGGACCTACCTTAGAATGAGGAAGGGGCTGGGGGATGGGGGGAATCAGACCAGAGGGAAACTACCTCCGTCCTGCCTGCGTGTGCCCCTGTGCCCCAGACTGGCCCCGGGGACCTCAGGCCCAGCAACCCTTGGGAATGTCCTGTGAGAGCCATGGAGGTGCATTTCTTTGGAAGGAAAGGAGCAGGTCTGGGCAGCCACCTCTCTGCAAGGCGTGGTTTTCAGGTGTGACCCGGGCCCTTTCTAGGATCTTCCAGGTTCAGACAGCTGTGGTGGCTGCACTGATCTCCCAGGAGCAGACTCCTCACTCCCGCTGGGCATTCGGGAGCATCCCACTCACCAGGGGCCTCTGTCTGTCCCTCTTCAGAAAATCCAGCAGCTCTCGGAGGGCTCCATGTTCAGCCACGGCCTGAAGCACCTGTTCCACAGCCGCCGCCGGTCACGAGAGAGGGAGCACCAGACGTCTCAGGATTGCCAGCAGCAGCAGCAGCAGCCACAGCCTCAGCCGCAGGGAGTCTCTGACCATGACTCCCCGGACGAGAAGGAGCGTTCCCCCGAGATGCACCGGGTCTCCTACGCCATGTCCCTGCACGACCTGCCCGCCCGGCCCACCGCCTTCAACCGCGTGCTCCAGCAGATCCGCTCCCGGCCCTCCATCAAGCGGGGCGCCAGCCTGCACAGCAGCGGCGGGGGCAGCGGCGGGGGCGGCAGCCGGCGCACCAAGAGCAGCTCCCTGGAGCCCCAGCGCGGCAGCCCCCACCTGCTGCGCAAGGCGCCCCAGGACAGCGGCCTGGCCGCCCTCCTGCACCAGCACCAGTGCCGGCCCCGCTCCTCCTCCACCACGGACACCGCCTTGCTGCTGGCGGACGGGGGCAACGTGTACCTCTTGGCCGAGGAGGCCGAGGGCGTCGGGGACAAGGTGAGGTGGGACGAGGGGAGGAGGGCCTTTCAGGTAGGGAGGCTACTCAGAGGCCAGTGCTGTTTTGGGGCACAGGAGGTGGTTCTGCACCCGGGCCTCCCACCCCCCGCACAGTGGGCTTGGACCCCTGTTGCCTGCAGACCTGTCTGCCTGCTTGAAGGAGGAGAGGTAGACTACGCCAAGGCCAGAGAGGACCCCAAAGGCTCATGTTGGTCTGTTTTCTCCACACGTGCGAGTGAGAGGAATTACGTGCCGTGGTGAAGAGCACAACCCTGGCTTTGCCACTTGACCAGCTCCACTAGTCACTGAACCTCTTTGTACCTCGGTCTCCCCAGGTGAAAATGGGGATAATCATAGGGTTACTAGAGGAGTCCATGGGGTCATATGTGTAAAAATACGTGGAATGGAGCCTGATACAGTAGCGTTTTTATTATTGTTACCAACCAAAGGGGTGGGATCCAGGAAGTGCTGCTCAGTAGACAGTCTAGTTTGGTACTTCCCGAACTTACTCTTGTAACAAGTGTTTATCGAATGGAATGCTCGTTCACTGCTGTGAGAATGAACAAGCCAGAGCTCACTGGGTAGAGGGGAGACAGCGATGGGGTGAGGAGGCTGTGATAGAGGCCGTGGGAGCTTCAGGAGAGGGAGGCTGGAGGGGAGGGGGGAGTTGGCAAAGACATTCTGGAGGAAGCCGTCGCGCTAAACCTTGAAGAAGGAATATGGTTTAGGCAGCAAAGAACTGGGTGGAGGGGACCAGAGAGGGAAGGCGTAGTGAGTACTAAAGCAATTTAGCTGGTGCCAGGGGCTCCGAGGGGCTCATTGTGGTTGGAGAGTCCAGCCCTTTGGGGGCCTGACAGGTAGACTGAGGCCCGTGAGACACGGAGAGGAAACAAAGTGAGAAGACATGTGGCATTAGAATCAGTGGTACCAGTTGAGAAGTGGACATGGAAGATGAAGAAGAGAGGGAGGAGGGGGTGGCTCCAGGGTTTGGGGACGGGGCTCTCTCTGGTTAGGAAACGTGGCGGAAGGAGCATGTTTGGGAGGAAAGGGGTAAGTTCCGTTTTGCTGCTGTCTGACTACAGAGCACCAGCTGGCAGCCGGGTTCTGAGGGCGAGGTCCGGGCTGGGTCTAGCGGCCCGGAAGTCAGCACTGAGCTCGAAGTCCCGGGTGCGGATGAGACTCCGGAAGGGCATGTGTTGAGTGAGAAGGATACCAAGGGCGGGTCTGACATACAGGGACAGAGCAGCCAGGTATGAGGAGTGAGAGGAGAGGGGAGGCCGAAGCCAGAGGAGAAGAGAGGCATTGGAGGAGGAGGGAGTGGTCCGCAGAGTGAAGTGTGGCAGGGGTGCAGGTCCGATCTGGGTTTGGGATGTAGATGGGTAGTAAGTATCAAGGTAGGGCTACGGGGGTCCCCGGTAACCAGCAAGAAACCAGTTTCAGGGCATTGAGGGAGATGGTGGAAGGCGTGGCAGCACGTGTAGCTAGTCTGGAGAGGAGAAAGGCCAGTGATATGGGGTTGGGGGAATTTTATTTTGAGTGAGTGGTTTTTATTTTATTTTATTTTTTGAGTGTTTGTTTTTGTTTTTGTTTTTTTTAAAGATGTCAGGGAGGATTGCAGCTCACATAGGGCTCCGTAGGCCAGGAAGAAGGCTTTTGACTTTTTTTCCCCCTCAAGTGCGATGGGAAGTCAGTAGGAGATTTTCACAGAGATGAGCGGCACCTTTCCAGACGATCACTCCGGCTGCTAGGTGGGAAACGTGCTGTGAGCCAGGGCACGAGCGTGGAGCCCCGCTAGAAGGTGCTGGAATCCTCTCGCGGGGAGGCGATGGCTCGCAGCAGGGTGGGGGTGCTGGAGGCGAGGAGAGGGGGTGGTTCTCTGGATTTGCTTCCGAGATCAAGCTACCTCCATCTCTGACAGATGCGGGGCGTGGCAGGGAGCAGGCGAAGACGGCCTACAGGCTTGGGCCCGGCGGCTGGAAAGAACTGCGCTTGACGGAGTTGGGGGAAAGCAGCGAGTGGAGCAGATACTTGGCCAGGGCTGTGGGGGTAGCGACGGAGCAGGTTTTAGACATGCTACATTTGAGATGGTTATTAAACACCCACGAGGAAATGCTAAGCAGTCAGACGAATAAATCTGGAGTCTCGGGGAGAGAGCCAGGCTGGAGGCATACACCGGGGAGTTGTCAGTGGATAGACAGTATTTAAGACGGTGGCGCTGGACCGTGTGCAAGCAGAGTTTCAACTGCGAAGAAGTCTGTTCCGAGAGTGAGATCTGGATGTATCTCCAGAAGGGTAGTGTGGCCTTGCGGGCGGCGGGGGGGGGGGGGAAGCGGGGGTGCTCCGAGGGGCCCGGCCCACCATCATCCCTGCATGTGAGGCAGCCAGGCCCCACCTCTCACTGCTGAGTCATCGAATACATTTTAAAAATCAAATTAGAACAGTCCTGTTAAGTGAAGGCCTCTGGTGCTGCACGCGAGAACGTGGACCGTGCAGTCTCTGCCCCTGGGGCAGACGCAGCGGGTGGGCGATGGGCCCCACGGGAAGCTGGGAGGGGTGGTCGACGTTTGCTGACTGGGAGCACGGGTGGCGTGTAGGTGGCCTTCACAGTGCCCTGGAGATGCCCAGAGGGCGGGCAGGGTTCCCTTCCTGCTGCCAGCGGGGGCCAGGCCCAGAGACTCCTGGGTGAGCCGAGTGGGAGATGGCTCCTGGGGGCCCGGTGGTGATGCGGGAAACGGTTGTTCCTGTGACTGTTTTCTATCCTTACTGAAAGCTCTCAGCTTTCCAAAGCGCTGTCACGTGCACCGCCTGGTTAATCTTCATAACATCCCTGGGAAGCAGGCATTTATGATCTCCGTGTTACAGCTGGACAGACGGAGGCTTAGTGAGCAGGAGGAATCAAGGGGCTGCTGGTCTGAGGGTGCCCGGCTAGCTCCTGGCAGGGAGGAGACTAGACCCGCCGTGTGTGGCCTATCCACGAGATCAGATGGAGACCGTTTCTATGCGAAGTCTCCCGCGAGCCTGTTTGCCCCGGCCCAGGGCGGGCGACTCGATCTCCTCGTTGACGTCTCCCTCGGTGACACAGCTTCCTAACCTGGGGCTGTCCCTCCGCGGACAGGTGCGGCCTTGAGGGGGGTCCTTCCAGGTCAGGGAGGGAGCCCCGCTCTGTCAGCTGACTTCCCGGGACCCAGAGGCCATTGGCTGGTGTGAGAAGCTGTGGTGGTGGTTCCCCGCTGGCCTCTGGCATGAATAGAAGGTATTCTTCTCTCTCGAGTAAACACAGCCCCACATGCTCTCGGCGAGCTCCCTGGTGATTACTAGCATCTATTTTTAATTCATAAGCCTCCCTCACCACAACACCCTTTGCCATTGTTTAGAAGGCACCAGCTGGCTTTCGGACCAGAGCCCCGACCAGAGAGTCCTCTCGGGGGGTGAGTTATCAAAACACCCCAGAGGCAGCTGAAGTTGCTGGGTGGCCCTGGAGAGGCTCATCCCACCCCAACCTAAGAAAGTGGGGGCCCCAGAGCCCCGAGGAGAGCGTGGGCTCCACGGAGGGACAGGATGGGGTCCCCCCAGTCCCAGCCACAGTTCTGCCTTGGTGACATGGCCTGGCTGTCATTTGTTCCCTTCAAACCCCATTAGCTGCCTTAGAGGTGGTTCCTTACATAAGTCCCTTTAAAACCGTGGCCGGCCAACTGTGGCTCGCGAGCCACATGCGGCTCTTTGGCCCCTTGCGTGTGGCTCTTCCACAAAATACCACGGCCTGGGCGAGTCTATTTTGAAGAAGTGGCGTTAGAAGAAGTTTAAGTTTAAAACCTGTGGCTCTCCAAAGAAATTCCAATCGTTGTGCTGTTGATATTTGGCTCTGTGGACTGATGAGTTTGCCGACCACAGCTTGAAAACAACAAAAACATTGTCCCCGCAGCCTCACCATTCTGCTTTCTAATATTTGTGTGACACCGAGCAAGGTAACGACTCTGTCTCATGGCTGTGGAGTGGAGAAACGTTGTCAGCATCCGTGTTGGCGGGCGAAGAGAGAAGGCAGGTGGCATGACTTCTGAGTCTCCATCCATGCGGCCTGCTCCTGGGAATCCCGGTCTGCGGCAGGAGACACCCGTCCCAGGCACAGGGATATGGGCTGCCTGGTTCCTCAGCGGCTGAATTCCTATCCTCTGTTTTAATGTGTTCTCTGCTGAGCAGCAGTTTCTAGAAAACGTGTGCTCAGGAAAATCGAGTCACTCTTTCGTCCTGGCTTCGTTACCTGGGAGTAAATTGGCAGGAGTCAGCAGTCTGTATCCCCTTTCTCTTATTCCTTCCCTGTCCAGATTGTTCTTTGCTTCCCTTTCAGCCTTGTTGAAAACCTCTCCCCTGCCCTGGCCCGAGTTGCTAAGTGCACAGAGCATCGGTCTGTGCACCAAAGGGTCCTGGGTTCAAGTCCCAGTTAAGGGCACACACCTGGGTTGCAGGTTTGCTCTTTGTCCCTAGTTGGGCTGCGTGCAGGAGGCAGCCGATGGATGTGTCTCTCACATCAATGTTTCTCTTTCTCCTTCCTTCCCTTCCTCCCTTCATCCCTCCCTCCCTCCCTCCCACTCTTTCTGAAAAGAAATGGAAAAAATATCCTCAGGTGAGGATTAAAAAAAAGCCACAAACCTCTCCCCAGCTGTCACCACATTCCTCCCACCCTCCAGCTGTGCATGGTGTCCGCATTGTGGAGAGGGCTAGCGCAGGAGTGTGGGTTTACAGCTAGCTCTGCCCCTCGCCCCTGATCTTGCCCTGCTCGTCCTTTCTCCTCTGTGCAGTGTGCCCCGTCCCCTCTGAGCACAAGGAGCAGCACAGGGGCGGGGGGGGGGGGGGGGAGTAGCCGGGAGCTCACAGAGGGGGTCTGGGCAGCCTTCAGAGGCCAGCCAAGAGGGCCCGGGGGCAGGCGGGCTCTGGCTGCCAGGCCAGCCCGTGCCCCAGGCGTGGAGGCCAGGCCGGATGGGGAGAGGCCGGGTGCGGAGGAG